TAGTGAAGTAGTAACATATGTGGGGTATAATGCAAGCCTTCATTTATTTACATATAGACTCATTTTGTCTTGGGTTGCGTTATGTTATGGTAATATACTATGTTACCATAAACATCTCTCTTCTCATTAAATACTTTTCACATAAGTAAAATTGCCTTGGGGTGTATTATATTACTAACTAAGCTACTCCACTATGACCAGCCTTAGGGGCCGAGGCTGCATTATCTGACAGCCATCGACGACACCCTTCGCATCTACTGTATGTGGCTGGCAAAAACATCCGATCACCTTCCTTGTCTGCGATCGATGTGTCGATCTCTCACAACGCTACGACTATCTTCAGAGCTTCTTCCCTCGCGATCATGGATGAGGCCTCGGCCATCTTATGGCAGGGCCAATGGTTAAATAGCGTGAGTATCCCTGTGCTAACATCAGATCTCATGGTTGCCGTCCGCCCCTAAGTGCTCACCAAGCGCATTGTAAAGGACGGTTTGACGAACACCTCTTGGGTCTGCATCTTCGTGGCTGCATTTCTGTCGCCAACGTTATACAATTTCTCGACCTTTGGCCCATGATCACGGTTGTTCCCTGCCTCCAGGTAGAGAGTCCAGTTCCTGGAAGTTGACTGCCTCGGCCATGTACCCCACCAAGTCGACGTACGAGGCCACCTTTGTTGGGTGACTGTGGCTGGGATCACCTGGTCTGTAAACCGTGGGAGCCAATGAAATTTAACTTGTTTGCTTGGCTAGTTCTCTACGACATATGCTGCTCCTCAGATTGTTTGGCTAAACGCAACCTGGCGCACCAACCCCATTGCCCCCTTTGCACCGACTGCCAATAGCACCGGTGGAGGCAGTGACTGTGGTGGCGCCGCCGATGCATGCACCATCACTTGTTCCTTACATGCTGAATGTTGGTGGTGCGCGGAAAGGCAAGCGAAGAGTTGTCGGATCACCTGCACAGAGCAATGAAGTGTAGCTCGATGCATAAGCTGACCTTTTTATATCGTAAAGTTAATTAATTGTTACCATGAGTTTTACATATGAATGTTTTGTAAATAACATAGGGTTGATAAGAGAAATCCCCATTGTCATGAAACTTTATAGTGATCATTAAGTAAAATAGAATATTGCAATAAGTATGATAACATGATGTAGATAGTATATCGTCTTCACCATGTGTTAAAAGGACAACTACTCAACTACCTTTTTATCCTTAGTGGCGACAACACAATACAATGTATTTTCCACTTTCTATCACTGCAGTATATTACTTTTAAGATTGAACCGAACTAACATATACAACTCCCTCTTAGATCATTCATCTATACATGGCCAATGCAAGACTAATAGATTGGAGAGCATATATGTCTATAAATTATGCAACAAAGAACTCATAAGAATCCAACGGAGAATCATATATAAATCTGATCATAAGGCGATAATTCATCACACCGCAACAAACACCAATGAAAATTAGATCAGATGGATCACAATCATGTAGGGCAGCTCATGTAATCATTGTACTAAAGAACAAGGGAGAGATTGCCATCTAGTTACTGCCATAGATCCATAGTCCAAAGATAACTAGTCACGTTTGATCATGGTGGTAGCAAGATTGATGTAGATGACTACAGTGATAAATTACCCCTCTGGCAGAGTACCGAAAAGGCCTTCAGATTTGATCGCGGCGAAACAGAAGTGTGCAGCGACAAAAAAATCATTGATAATTATTTTCAGGATTTCCGAAGCAATAGAAATCCATGGGCACCAAGAGGCGGTGGAAAGTATGTGTATGGGCCCCATGTGGCCACCCCGTGGATGTGTGGTGGCTGTGGGCCACCCCCTCCACAACTGGGGTAGGTCACTTCGGAAGCTCCCCGGTGCAAAACTTTTTGTGTCTTCTTTCTCGGTTTTTTAGCTCTGTAAAAATTATTTTCTTGAAAGTCCAAAAACAAGCAGAAAACAACTTGACACTGGGCACTTGGTTAATTGGCTAGTTAGGAAAATAAAAAAAATTGGTGCCAAAGCTATACAAAAACAATATAACAGTAATATTAAAAATAAAAAATATAGATAGGTCTAGCACGTATAAGCTCTATGAGGACATTTATTATTCCGTGCGTAGGGATAGCGACCATGCGCATACCCCCTGCAGCGCTCGTCGCCTGGCCCACTACTGTGGCTCCAGTTTTCCTTATTTTTGGTTTCTTCTTCCAATTCTTTCTGCATTTTCCCCTTGATTTTTTGTTGTCTTTTCCCCATTTATTTATTTTCAGGTTTGTATGTGTTAGTTTTTACTTTATATTCATGAATATCTTATTAATTCACGAATAATTTTAAAATTTTAGAATATTTTCGAATTCTGGAATATTATCGAATTTATGTATATTTTGAAATTTATTTTACATTTTGTAATGTTTGAATATTTCTAAATTAGCAAAACAGCCATTTGCCCGTGTTTGAAAATTTTGGAACATTTTAACATTCATGAATATATTTTTTATAATTTGTAAATTAGTTTTAGTTTCAATTTTTAATTCATATTTTGTTAACATTTGTGTAAAAATTTAAATTGCTGAACATTGAACATTCTTTAAATTCATGATTTTTTAAATCAGTGAATATTTTCTAAAAAAAATAAACAATTTTTAAGTTTCGGGCATTTTGAAGGCCCAATTTTTTTTCTAAATGCGTGATGTTTTTTTGTATACATCATAAGAAATTTCTAAATACATGGTGAACATTTTTTCATAGACAATGGGCATTTTTCAAATAAGTGATGAATTTCAATCTGAGTGAATGTTTTGAAAATATGTGATGATTTTTCTTTCGGATACGTGATATTATTTTTTAAAATATGAATGAACTTTCTTTAACACCTGGTGATCATTTTTTTATTTATATGTGATGAATATTTTATAAGAAAAGTGTTTTTTTTCGTTATCTACAAAAACATACCAATCCAGCACATTGATTTTCGATACAACTACACTGAGAAAATATATTAGGATGACTCCATTCGACTTTTCCAGCGCAGACAGATGTTAGTGGTACACACCCACTGTGGAACAGATCTTAGACCTTTAATCTGTTTATCCATC